AAAAAAAAAAAAAAAAAAACAAATAAAAAAAAACGGCACCTTAATCTCAAAAGTTAAATTTTGGTTTCCATCTGACCGGGCAATATCTAACAGAAAACGTGTTGGCAACGATGCAACAATATCGGCTGGGATTGGACCACCAGAACGATCGTTAACCTGCACATGGTTGGGTTCAGCTTCCTCCGGTGCACATATTGTCACCTGTCTGCAAAACTTGGTGTACAGAAAATTATAACAAATTTAATGAACGACTGGAAAAAACTGTCAATAAGCAATTTTATTTTCCTTTTCTAACCTTTCTTTAAACCCCTTACCTACATCATTATTACCATTCTTATCGACGCACAATAAAAAGTCTAAAATGCTTGATTACAATGTCAACAAACAAGACATTTAAAGAAAAACTTAATGACTGTTGCGTTTAACAGGTCAATACATTGCAAGGTTTTTTTTCTTCTTAGTTACATAGAGTACGTTTGATAGGTATCTTCAAATATTTTTCCATGACAAATACCAAACGATTGTGGTGGCAAAAATTACTCCAAATTAACAGTTCCTATTTGTTGTAACAGGTTTTTGAAATTCTTGAAGAAAAAACTACGGAAAACAGTAGACTACAAATATTGTGTAAGTTTTTTTTTTAAGGAACGTTTTCCCTTCCGTTCTTTTTTTTTTCTTCATTTTTCACCCCTGTTTTTCACGTATTTTTTTCTTTTGCTTCTTTTTTTTGATTTATTTTTTAAATTAAAATTGTTCAAGACTGTGTACTCTGTCAGCCTTAGAGAACTCCACACCTCTGCAGAACACTTCAAAAACAGCAACAGCAGCAGCAATAAAAGCAGAAAAAACAAAAAGAAAACTACAATCAATTTAAACATTTTTTGACCTGTTTAAAACTTTTAGCACTAATCCGAAGATGTCAGCTTAACAAAAGCAAAAAAAAAAAAATTATACCAAGAAATTGGTGTTTATAGTTAATGGAAGACATTCTTTTCTTCTTTTCTTTTTTTCTTCCCTCCCCTGCTAATACCGAGAAGAAATTGTAACATGATCTGTTTCAGTTCAATTGGCTCTTCAACTAAATAAACTTGAGTTTCTTTTTGTAATTGAAAAAAAAAAGACTTCTGGACAACTTGATAAAAACTAATTTTTCTGTTTTTGTGTAATAACAAAGCTTATAAGAATAACTTTAACAAAAAAAATGAAAAACAATAGCAACATAAAAAACCAAAAGAAATAAAAAGAAAGATGTGAAAACATTCAGATCCAAATTGTTGCTTTTCTGGTGTCATTTCTGTGGTAATCGGTCAATCCACTATATCTGTCCAAAAAAAACGAAAAGAATATTAATCTGCAACAACAACAGCAACAAAATCAAAAATTTAATGAGAACTTTGCACTTGTCTACTTAAAAGTTGAAAAAAATCTTTTCAACTTGTTAAATGAGTGATGCAAAGCGAAGTGGCAAAGAAGAAAAAACGAAAACAAAAACGAAAAAAAGATTTGTTTAAGCAACGTTTTTTTTTCTTCTGTTCTGTACACTGATAGCACAGTTAACTTCAAAAAATACACCCTCTATCATATGTTTTTTCTTTTTTGC